TGTTAGAAAAGTAACTTGAAAATTCCCATTTAAGTCTCTAGAACAAAACACCATCTGGTGAGCAATTGCTTTCAATGATTCATCATCAGACCATTACAATCATATAGAGGCTAGAATGAGAAATCGACCCAGTTAGTTCAAAATGACTTGATCACGTGAAGGGCTATGTCAGAGTGGAGAAAACGAATTAGGTCTTAGAGGGCTAGCTGTTTGCTACCGCGTCTGACCGAAAGTAGTCGACCTGGGCGTCTTCCATCTTCGCTGGCCAGGGAAGCTGGAGAGCCTGGACCAGCTTTTTCTGTGAGCATAAGGAAGGCTGGAACAATCGAATGCATATTGCTTCAGCTGTCGCAAGCGTACGAAGGCGATAACCTTTCGTCCGGTGCGGCGGAACCTTGTAAACTATTCGGAAAGCGCGTTTCCAATCCACTTCATGGCCGGTGTCCACAATGTGGGCCAGAATGGCGCTGCTAATGGTCCCGGTGCCCCCTTGACGCAGCCAACGAGGGCAATGTTCGTTCACGCGTTTTGATAACTGCCGCGCCGTTCGACCAATATACGTCGCGCCACAGGCGCACACGAATTGATAAATTACCATTGATGTGGTCAGCATCGGCAGCTTATCCTTGTTTTGTGAACGAATGAGTGGTTCCGTTGAGAACACGCACTTCAACGAGGCTGCTGGAAAGGTCGACTTTACCGCGGCCGAAAGGCTTCTGGTTAGACGCTCGGTAGCCGCGTCCCCTTTGAATGGCAATCGAATATGATTGTAATGGTCTGATGATGAATCATTGAAAGCAATTTCTCACCAGATGGTTTTTTGTTCTAGAGACTTAAGTGGGAATTTTCAAGTTACTTAAATCATCCAAGCCCCCATTAGTGGTGAAGGAGCTCCATCAGTTCCTTAAATTCTCCACTAAGCTTGCTGAAGCCAAATGCTGTGTTCAGTTCTTCAATGATTGCGTAGAGCATAATGAATATCCGACCAGATTTTGGAAACAGTTACGCCGTGATCGGATCTATCCCAATAGCAAGACCCTTAGACGACATGCACTAAACCAACGTGATACCGTGCAGTCCAAGATTGCTGAATACGAAAGGAACCCAGCACAACGCCACACAGCAACGGAAGAGTTAGCTGCTGAAGAAAAGAAAACGTTTCTGGACTATGTTCAGTCTATCACTAGCAACCGTGCACAGCGGAGGCGTTCTTCTTTAGCAAAGTCGCTAAGCCAGTTAAAGCCGCAAGCCACGTTTCCAAACAGGCCAGACAGGTATGTACACAACTTTTCTAGTTTGAACATGGACACAACTTTGATGGAAGTTCTATCACTTGGCTTAAAGTTTTGCGCTCCTAGACGCAGGGATAACCGGCTTGATTGTGAATTACAATTTGAAAGCTTATATGATCAGACGAAGGGTTAGTCGCTAAATCGAATACGGATCTTGAACGTTTCAAGTGCTATTTGGTGAATTGTTGGTACCAATATCGCAAACTCCGCGTCCGTAATCATGGCCCGTTAACAAGAAGGCATCTAGATGCGCTGAAAGAACTAAAGCGCTATAAGGAAATCGTCCTATGCAAACCGGATAAAGGTGCTGGAATTGTGTTACTCGATAGAAAAGATTACACAGATAAACTAACAGCAATACTGAGCGATGAGACAAAGTTTGCGTGTATTGAAGGAGAAAGGGACCGAACTGAACAAGTTGAAACACAGATAACTAAGAGCTTGCAAGAACTCCGGGCCAAGGGGTACATTTCAGATGCTCTGTATGACAGCCTTAAAGCGAGTGGCACGAGCGTCCGAAGACTTTACGGGTTACCAAAAATCCACAAACCCAACATCCCACTTCGTCCTATTTTATCAATGGTCAACTCACCGTACCATGCCATTGCTCAGTGGCTCGTAGAACTTCTTGAACCTGTGCGACAACAGCTCGCTACCTACAGCCTTCGTGACAGCTTCCATTTCGTCGAAAGCATCAAGGATGATAACATCAATGAGAAATTAATGTTATCTTTCGATGTCGTCTCACTTTTTACAAACGTCCCACTGGTTGAGACGATCGATTACATTTGCGACTATATAGCCGAGTCAGGAATAAAAATGTGTATACCTACGAGTGAGCTCAAGGGCCTACTGTTACGCTGCACCTGGAATGTGCAGTTTCTATTCAACGGGAAATACTACCGGCAGAAGGACGGCGTGGCCATGGGATCTCCTCTCGGACCACTATTAGCGGATATCTTCATGGCAAAGCTGGAGAGAACCGAAATGTGGGCGGAGATAGACCTTTTTGACCGCTATCATCGATACATGGACGATATATTTGTTGTGATGGACAAACATATTAATCCGGAGGAAATTCTTGACCACTTCAACCGAGTGCATGAAGCAGTGCAGTTTACTTACGAGAAGAAAAGCGGTAATCGGCTACCATATCTCGATGTTTTGTTGACCAGGAGACCAGATGGATCCATCCAGCGTCAGGTCTACAGAAAAACAACGTGGATAGGCCAGTACACGAACTTTTACAGTTTCGTTCCCATGAGATATAAGCGCAACTTGGTTCACTGTCTTACGTCAAGAGCACGTCGAATCTGTACGGAAGACACCCTAGACGCGGAGTTATTGTTTATACAGAACACTACGTGAAAACGGTTATCCCGATAGATTTATCTTAAGGAACCTGCAAGAAAAATCCAAACCAGTGCCCGTGTTAACAGCACCCAAGAAAGAGTTGTTTATTCGCTTGCCATTCAAAGGGGACGCGGCTACCGAGCGTCTAACCAGAAGCCTTTCGGCCGCGGTAAAGTCGACCTTTCCAGCAGCCTCGTTGAAGTGCGTGTTCTCAACGGAACCACTCATTCGTTCACAAAACAAGGATAAGCTGCCGATGCTGACCACATCAATGGTAATTTATCAATTCGTGTGCGCCTGTGGCGCGACGTATATTGGTCGAACGGCGCGGCAGTTATCAAAACGCGTGAACGAACATTGCCCTCGTTGGCTGCGTCAAGGGGGCACCGGGACCATTAGCAGCGCCATTCTGGCCCACATTGTGGACACCGGCCATGAAGTGGATTGGAAACGCGCTTTCCGAATAGTTTACAAGGTTCCGCCGCACCGGACGAAAGGTTATCGCCTTCGTACGCTTGCGACAGCTGAAGCAATATGCATTCGATTGTTCCAGCCGTCCTTATGCTCACAGAAAAAGCTGGTCCAGGCTCTCCAGCTTCCCTGGCCAGCGAAGATGGAAGACGCCCAGGTCGACTACTTTCGGTCAGACGCGGTAGCAAACAGCTAGCCCTCTAAGAACTAATTCGTTTTCTCCACTCTGACATAGCCCTTCACGTGATCAAGTCATTTTGAACTAACTGGGTCGATTTCTCATTCTAGCGTCTATATGATTGTAATGGTCTGATGATGAATCATTGAAAGCAATTGCTCACCAGATGGTCTTGTGTTAGAAAAGTAAAAACCGCAAAATATAACAGGCCCCGTGTACGCGGCAGCTTTGCTAAGTCTCTCAGACAATCTGTTCATGTCTCCATGCTACGTCAGGGACTGGCCACCTGGCGGTTTCGCCCAAACTGGTGCAGCCACGGCTTGTAATGCGCACCGGTAAAGGCAGTCAACGGGGATACAAGTAGGACGGCCTGACCAACATAAATTACTAAGATTTAGCTATCACTCGAGCGAGAAGCCCGAAGACTTCTTGACAAATCCAACAGCCGGATCTCCACATTGCTCATCCGATGTTTCCACCATACGTCAGGAATACGTTGCAAACATCGGTGATCAAACACAGCCAAGCGTTACATTTCTTCGCCGCGAACTGGCCAGGTCCATACGGTAACACCGGCCTTGCCGCAGCGTTATATACCCTAGCTTTTACTGACATGCTAATATCCCGTCGTCTCTGGAAATCCACATGGGTCCTGCTGATACGCGAAGTAACTTTCGCAGTGATGTAACTACCAGAAGGGACACAGCCACCAAAGTAAGTAAATCGATCCACCACTTCCAGTGGCTGTTCGGTGATAGCCAGAACCGGAGGTGTTTCGATCCAGTCCTGCACATTGAAGGTGCAAAGCACATGCCGAAGCGTGCAGCGCTAGGCACCAATCTGTTCAGTGGTGTTCGCATAGCCACTGCGTCAACTTTTATCGTTCACTAGGAATGATCAAAACGCGTCGAAAGAGAAGTTGCGGTTGGTAAGTAAGCGATACCGTTGTAAACCACGAGGATAGCCAACGGATAAAAAGATACCCACCAGCTTGATAACTCCGACTAAAGTTCGAGGTTCAGTTGTGCACATGCGGGCGTGTACTGGCAACCATCCAAATAAAATACCATCAGCGCCTCCAATGACAGTGATTCCGAATCGCAAATGTTGCGGCTCATGAGTTTAGTGTTAGGAAAACTGAAAGCGATTGTAAGTTCTACCAATGGAACTCGAGTTAGTTGGCAGTAAATGCATCAGGACGTCTGCGTATCGTGCGTTTCTTAGACAAAAGACACTCACTAACAAAGAAAGTGCTCAGAGCGAGAGAGAACCACTGTTAATCAAATGTTACCAATAGCCCTTTAACAATAATCCATTTGACATCTCAGCCGACAAACAAAGACTGAGAAGGAATTAGATAACATCCTTGACAGGAAGAGCAAAGACAGTCGAATGGGGCCGACGGTACGATTGGATGAAGGGTTAGAATAGTGAGGTTGGCTTTTTATTCAACGAAGCGATTCAACAGCGGTGTGAGAAGCGGCAAACAGGATAGGAGGTGGAAAAGCTTAAAAGTCATGCGTTGGTAAACAAGTTGAATAAGATGCAGTATATAGACCTATCACAGGCTGATGCGGACTGTATAATGATGCAAGAAACGCCGTAAAATAGTCCCAACTCAGGCCTCAAACGTAGCCACATTTCCGCTCGGTGCAGGCTGAGCGTTTTCTTTATATCCAGTTCGTTTGGTGACAGTAGACAGGAAGTCAGTGAGAAGATGACGTGTCATGTTGGTCTGAAGATTAGAAAACAGTGTTGAAGTGGTTGCATTCGTACTGGCCAAACGGCATCGGAGAAAGCCGTACAAATTGATAGCGGACATACCCAGTGATATGCCAGACACCAGTGCCCATCGGAAATGAAGCGAGAAGATGGCGGCTAGCAAGAACACACCCCAAATCACTGGAGTGGCTACTAAAGACGTCCAAAATAACCGGGCATCGTTCGCTTGTGAAGATCGAGAAGCCAACTCTCGTCTTGTGAGAGAGACGCCATCCACAGGTTCCGACGGCGGTGGACGACTATCAAAGCGCCACCTTGTTTGGCCTTCCTCGTCTGTGTAGCTTGACCAACGTAATCCGACTAAAACTCGCCCCGAGATATTCTTAACGAACCAAAAATCAAAAGAAAGGCTGATAAGCACTAATACAAAGGGTACGACAAAGGAATAAGTGAACCAAGTGCAGAAGAAGTAAATCAAGATAGCAGCAGTGCGGAAGAAAAAGTGGCCAATAAGCGCGAAACGTCGAGTGGACGGAGTGAAATATCCAGCACCGGTTTCGGGAGAATCAAGGTCGTTGGTTAGAGCAAGAACAACCTCGTCCTTCGGATTCATTGTGCAGTTCTAGAAGCTGAAATGGAAAAATCAGTTGCATGAATAAATAAATGAATGCAATAATCTGTGGAATATGTAGTAAGTGAAAGATAAATAAATGTTTCATTCCCGGAAGTACGAGGCACACTTGCGAAAGCGTGAACATGAGAATAGAAACAGTTATGGTAAGTAATTGTATAAAACGATGCCAAGTTAACCAGTGACATACTGGATTTGTGGGTCAGTATATATATATATATATATATATATATATATATATATATATATATATTCTTCGTGTTAGTGGATACGATAAGTGAACTTGACTGAATTCGCGAGTTTGCTTGTTGTGTTCGCCATCGTATGAAGGGATCAAAAGAACTCTTCGAACTGGATGACGTTTGTGAAGTAGGGAAGATTCTCCGAAAGAGAAAGAGGCTGTGACTTTATTTCGTGGCGAGCCACATCCGCCACGTCGCAGTATTGTTAAAGAGACATGTGTGGCTTTTTATAGGAAGAACGCTTGACAGGCGAAAATCCACCACGTTTTGGAACACTGCCGCCGGACTATTCGCTAGAACGGGACTAACCCGAACCACCCAGCTGGCACCACGTGGAAGTTATTCGGCGAAAAAGAATCGAACGATAGAGTTAAAAAGGTGGAAGGGTGAAAATATCAAAACTATCACTACGCGAAGTGCGTCATATTGTTGTTTGTCAAGCACAGTCAGGAGTGACACCTAGAAATGGAATGGTGGCCATATCAAGATTTAACGAAATCACAGGAAAAGCCAAAACTGGTGTAGATTCGTCGCAGTTAGACACAGGCAGACAGCGCTACTGACGAATCCCAATAGGACGAAACGACCGTCTAGCGCTTTCCTCGACGTATGATGGTAGTCTGCTTGTGTCTAACTGCGACGAACCTACACAAAAACCTAATTAATCCCCAGTAATTACAAATAATTAGTAGTCACCTGGGCAGCTTCATGCCACCGTGATTGGTGGCGGCTTGCAAAGGAAGTTGTTGCTCTGGTGGCCAGTCCTGTCCTCTGCTCATGCATAACATGCAAGACAGTGGAGGATGAGCAGCGCTAGATCGCAGTTAGATATCAGTCACGGGGCTGTCCGCTGCCGTCGCCCATGGCTCAGTGACATAAGTCGCTGACTCGCAAGAGAAAGGTCGCGGGTTCGAATCTGGTAGGATCCGGCGGATGCGCACTACTGACGAGACCCAATAGAACGAAACGGCCGTCTAGCACTTTGCTGGATGTGTGGTGGCTGTCTGCATGTGTCTAACTGCGACGAATCTACATAAAAACCCAATAAATCCCCCTACTACTTACAAAGCCAGAACTGGCAAATACGAATCCGAAAAATGACCAGATGATCATTCCGCTCTATTGAGGTTTGTCAGTGGTGCATCATCATCACACATTAGCTGAAAATAGAAACACTGTTCAACTGCAGCGGTACCGTACACATAGAGATAATATATGAAAGAGCAAAATACCAAAGATTTTAGAATACAAAAAGGAAAAATACTGCTGAATAGCACATTATGCTACAAGACAAAAATCGTGGTTGAAGGAGGAAGATAAGCCGAATGGAGAGGGATAAAGAAACTCACAACAAAAACGTCAGTCGGCTCCATGTCAAGCCAAATAACCAGACGTGTGAATCGTTCTTTCAGCGCAAGTATTTCGAACAGAATGCATCGATCGGCTGAAGCATACGCACTCTTGAAATCGCGGAACACAGCTATTGTCGGTCAGCGGTATGCGCGGCACTGCTTTAGCATCTGCAGCAGGATGAATATATGGTCTAAACAGCCACGTTCAGGGCAGAAAGCTCCATGCGCTTCCCGAGTCGGGATTCCCCGTTCCGCAGTGAGGCGACAAACGAGAATTGAGGCCAGTAATTTTGTCACTACGGGCGTTAGGCCAATGCCCCATGAGATTAGCACAGTCGGTGCGACTGTTTTGATTGCATACTGCCACTATGATCGAGTTAATTCAATTAGCCGGGACGACTTCCTCCTTCCATATAGGTTCGAACAAAGAGGTCAGTGCTTTGCAGAGAACCTCACCTCCATCCGCAAATAGTGCAGGTGGTGGGAAATCCGGGAAAACAGCACAAAACCATTGGGGGCTGTGATCGCGTTTTGGACTCCAGTGTTGAATGGAGCCGCTTAACTAACCGCTCATGGCTCATCATGCATCAGCTGAGTAGAAAGAGGTCCGGAAGAAAGGGGCCAACTGGATTGATCTTCAAAGTGTCCCGCCCAACGAATCATACGGCGTTTCTTAGTGTGAATCAGAACACCTCCGTTGTCTCTGACTGTCTCACAGACACCTGATTTTCTGGAACCAGTGGTGCGGGTCAGCTGGAAGAGCTTGCGATAGTTCCCTACTGCTCCGCCTACTTCATTGCTTGTACCCGACTGGTCCACCAGACTTCCTTGTCAGCACGGACGCTCCGTTTTAGTTCGCGCCTAATAGTCCGTCTCGTCACATTGTGCTCAGAGCCAGCCGGTTATCTTCTGGATTCCAAAAGTTTCATCGACCTCTCGGATATCCAGTGACTAGTGCGGTGACGATTGATAGCACCACAAGCAGATGCTCCTGAGTCGTGCATGGCGACCGAGATCATATTCCATTGAAGCTCAGTGTCATTAGAATAAGGAAACGAAAGTTGTCATCATGCTTAGATTGCAGTAAAGGTGTTGCTTCGCGCTCATAGGTTGTATAATGCACCTTCTGCGGCGGATGGATGCACGCTGCGTGTTGCAGTATCTCCCCAGCGTTCTATGAATGACTCCAGCGGATTGATTCCTCGGTTGTCACTTTTCTTTGAAACGTTTGCAGAATAGCCGCGTTCCGAGGCATACACGCTCTTAGTCTTCACTCTGCTGTTATTCCGACTAAAGTATGCACCGCTGTTCAATCGCCGACCACATTCATGTCAATGGACGTTGCTGGTGCGGGCAATGCATCAGAAAAGAGAAATGGTGTTATTTCCACTTCGAGACCACTTACGAGACCTGTTGATTGTAGCACTTATCGCAAGCGCATGTCGTATGCAGCAGTGGCGGGTGAGTGCGCAGCATCAGCATCATCAGTAGTTAACAACAACGCAGCTGCGCAAGGGAAAAGTCAAAACTCGCTGCAAACCTAAGTCCAAACCGACTCCCCCACACTCCAAAACAAATATGGTTCGCGACAGAGACGAACAATTTGAAAAATTGCTCAAAAATAGTCCGCTACTAACGCTACCGGTCCCCGAACGTAAACAATCGCCTCGTCCTCGTGAGAGAGGCGTGATAATTATTAACGCCCCAGAGTCAAGGTAGGATAACACGCCTGAGAAGATTCTGGACGACCTAGAGTATCTAAGGAGTATGATTTCCCTACTTTTTAATGGGGTTAAGCAGGGAACCAAAATTGATTCTGCATTGCGTCTTGGTAGGAAATCAGAAGATTCGGTTAAATTTCGCTTGCTAAAGGTGATTTGTTAAAACGAAGAAGAATGTCGTCGCGTCCTCAAACGGATCCCGCGTTTCAGGAGGAATAGTTCTTCGTGCTGAGAGACCTTTCTCCAGAGGATCGTGTCCGATGAAGAAGGTTGTGGACGCGGCAGCGTACGCGACTGCCGATCATTTTGCTCAACATGCGTCGACACCGAGCATGCACTGGTATGTGCGACCGTTTGTATGCGTTTCGGTGGTTCACCTAGATCCAAACTCACCAGAGGGAACATTTACAAGTTGGAGGACCTAATGGTGAAGAAGGAGTATCAACAAAGGCTTCGGGAAAATCTCGCTCTATCTCCCACTCTGGATGTTGATCAACACTGATCAAGTCTGCAACAAGCCTTGCTATCGGCCGACTTGTCCAGCTGTGGCCTCGCTTGCTCCACTCTCAAAAGCTGGATCTCGGGAAGATCCTTGGTATTACTGGGTCGTCGACAGGCGGTGCCTGCTGGCGCAGAGCACAACGAACACCGCCGGTCTATTACGCAACAGCTGTAAGTCCTCGCTCTGATCGTGAATCCTAGTGGTCAAAACGAGCTGATGAGTTGGAAGCCGCTGCATCAGCTGGCAACTTCTGCCGTCTATTTTGCATCATCAGGGCCACCGGTGGTAATGCGAATCAGGCGGCACAAAGATCACCAAACTTCACAGGCGATTGGGTCGCTGGGCAGAACATTTCGCTCTCCAATTCAACCATCCTACACAGTTCTCTGACACCTCTAGCCCCCAACGGATAATGCCTGGCTTGTCTACACAGGCCCCCAGATGAAGCAGAGATCCGAGATGTAATCCAATCTTCGAAAGGTCACACAGCTCCTGGTCCCGACAGCCTACCACCGGTTCTATTCAAAGATGACGGGAGTGTATTTGTCAACGAAATCCTATCGCTGTTTGAACTGAGGAGTTTTCGAACTCATGGGGAAGATCGAGCATTGTTCCGATTCACAAGAAAGGCTCCCGCGACGACTGCTGTAACTACCGCGGAATCTCGTTGACCCCTGTCGCATCCAAAATCTTCGTGTCTGTCCTACTTGGCAGGCTTTCAACGACTAGAGAGGAGTTTTCCCGAGAAGAACAAGCTGGATTTCATCCAGGCCGCGGCTGCATCGACCAAATCTTCATGCGCCGCCAACTTCTCCAACTCCGTCACATCCACCGGCGACCAACAACCGTAGTGTTCTTGGACATCCGAGCGGCATTTGATTCAGTGGATTTATATGCGTTGTGGAACTGTTTACTGAAGAAAGGTGTGCCCGACAAGTATGTAACCATCCTGGAAGAACTTTACAACCACACGTCGGGCAAAATCAAGGCTTACGACACGTTCTCTTCTTCATTTGCCATAACCAAATCCCTGCTGCCTTGCAGGTAGCACCTGGCTGTGTAAAGGCTAGAGGTGAACCCTCGAACAAAAGCCGGATGAGGTTAGGGTTCACATACGTACGCATAATCCCCACGAATCTTCATGACATGTCTGTTACCCGCGATTCTTCTCATGCCACGGCG